TAAGGGGAAAGGCATACCCTGGCTCCCAAACTGTAGTCGGTGATTGATGACTTTTAAATCAGATGGCAATTGGTTGTTAATGAAATCTCATTTGCCTTGTGCCTCCTTTATCAAAAAAGAGATCATAGCTCTCTGTAATTGTATTCATCTGTCTTCCATCTTCACTGTAAGCTTCCTGTGGGCAAGGTCAGATTTTAGATAGCTAAATCCTCAGTGCCTATCCTAATGCCTGACACAAGGAGGTGCTCCAAATCACTGGGATGGAAATACATACATATATACACTTCAAATAAATTGCCAATCACTTATCTGAGTTCTAGTCAACCTTCAAGTTCAAGTTTAAGCCTCCTATCTTTCATAAAGATTTCCTCAGTCATTTTATCCACCATGATCTCCACCTGTTCCAGGTAAAATGCCACTTATCTGACATGTAACATACATATACAGAACTTTAATCATCAATTATCTTTATTTTTTATCTGTTATTACCCCATCGAAGTTGTAAGAAGCTGTCTCTATATATTTCATATTGCCTCGCAGACTAAGCATTCAAATGCGTGTTACTATTGAGCTATCTTAAAGTAAAAATAGGCATTCAAATGAGAAAATCTACAAATTTTGATTTTCCTTCTAGCATCATTTAAATTGCCAAAATTAATTCTAGAGATGACAATATTTCAGTGGCTCCTCCAGCTGTTGCCTATTTATCTTAAGTAAAACATCTGTTTTGACATGAAATACTGTTCTTTTGGTATATACAATTAATTTTTAAATGGTTAGTTGTACCTTTAGTCAACTCAATTCTAATTTCTGTTATTTATTACAGTAACTTATACTTATCTGTAAATTATAAAATGATTAATTTATAACATTTTAATTCATAACCAAAATAAGTTTAGAGCTAGAGATCACTTTAGGGATATACATAAGTTTGTATGATGTCCTTGATAGCATCACACACAGACCAATATTTCCATTTTTAAAGCTAATTAATTGTAGGCATATTCCCCAATAGTATACCGATGGCATGTAAAGTTTTGACTCCTGGAATCATGACTACATTTGTGAATATCAGCATAGCTCCTCCAGTGTTTTGATAAATCATTATTTAGCTCCTTTAGTTTTAAAATGAGCTTTAGTCTATTACACAAATCCTCTCTTACTGTCCTATAGATGGCAGCATTGAGCAATGTATTTAGTAATAGGTGGCTTTTTGGTTTCTGTGAATTTTCATCTAGGAGTAAATTTTTCATACAGTACATATATCATTACAGTACACCACAAGACTAATTTAGTGCAAGGTGACAGAATAATACTTGTACCTGCTCAAAATTACTTCAGTTAGATTCCGTAAAAGCATTCTTTCTATGCTGTATATGATATAAACCAAATGTGCATTTCCAGAGTTATCCCAATTCATTAACAAAAAATATGTAGAGAACAAATGAACTTACTACATAGTTACAATAATAATAACCACTTTTAACTTTGGGAGTAAAACATCAGCAAGTACAAAGAAATGGCAATCCCTAATATTCTATGATCAGTGATTATCTTCCACGTGAAATCCATTGATCTGAACAGAATTTGTCTCAGCAATTTGGCTGATTTCATCATTGCTAGCCAATGTATTTGCCCCTGAAGTTGAGTCTTTAAAGCAGAAATCCTTTCCCACTGAGAAATATATTTTAAAAAGCTTTTATAATAATTTATTTTATAAGATCAAAATCCTAACCTTTCTGTGAAGGTTATTGTAGATTTTTTGTAAATTAAATTGACCTTCCTGCCCTCTCTTCCTTTTAGAGAAGAGTTCAAGATTTTGTTTTCCATGGAGGTAAGTTCTTTTTATTTAGCCTTTTTTGGGGGATGGGGGGGGGTGTAATCATTTGAAAAGTAAATGTCTGTGGACTTAGATTGTTTTCCTACAAAATGTGAACTATCAAACCCGTAAAAAGCCCTTTGGCCTTAGATTACTTTGTTCCCAGTAAACAGCCTTTTATCTTTCTTTTTTCTTGCCAAGGATAAAACCCCACACAGTTACACTTTACCACTAACTTCGTGCTTCCCTGCTCCACGCCCCCCGCCCCTGCTCCACATAAAGCACGCTATACCCTCAGAATCTCGGTCACTGTTATTGCCGCCTCGTTACAAGTTCCAAATATATGCTATTTATAGCTTTGCTGTAGTGGGCACGTGTCTCCACATCACCAAGCTGTCAGAGGGAGAGAGGGCGGGCTTTCAATTCACAGTGTGTACACAAATTATAGATTAACCAGGTTTAGATGAGACTGCATGATGGCAGGGAACAAAAAGGTGAGAGGAGAAATGAGAAGCTCCCAGGCTTGGGTTGGGGAGCAGCCCTTTGCTGATGCCGAGTCCTCCGAGTTCACGTTATCACACGCTGCTGAATGGCGCCTATGGTTCTCTTTAATTTTTTTCCCGACGCTTCGCAACCTACCTTGGTACCCCTAGCATCTCTTTCCACCTCCCCTCCTGCAATGCAAGATTTGAAAGACAGGGAGCTTCACCAATCAGAAGGCTTCCCTAAGAAACTTCCCCCGCCCCTCACCCCTGTGTTAGGCCCAGGCGCGCTCCTCCGCGGCCCAGCCCGCTTGGCCACTGAGCATGCCCAGCGCCTCGACTGCTGCGTTTCCCTGCCAGCATCCCGCAGTGCCTGAGAGCTGGCGGCAGGCGAGGGTCTCCCTCGTAGAGAGGGGGTGAAAACCCCAAACAGGCCAGAAATGGGGTAGAAAAATTAAACAGCATTAGGACGAGTGACAAACGTCATCTCTCTAGGGTCCTTAATGCCAGCTGGACAAGCAGAGGACAGACTTGTTTATAGGTCAGCTTAAAAACAAAAAAACCAAAAAACCAAAAAAACTTTGGGAAGCGTTATATTGTGGTGACTGATAATGCAAGATTAACTGTATTAAGAGTATCTCCAGCTAGACCCAGGCTGCTGATCTGCTCTCCTCATGAAGTACCCATTTCCTGTACAGTTGAGCTGGCACCGTCCTTGTTTTCTGCCGATTATCCTTGTAGTCAAGGGTAAAAATTTTATGGGGTGGTTCGATGGGTGTGGAAGCTATGTGTGAAACAAACACTTCAGCCAATATTTACGCAGTAGGATGTTGGCCTTAGGAACCCTCTCGTAGGTCTCTAACATCTTTTTAAAATCAAAAATTGATTTGAGACTATGATAAGGGGCATATCATTTTCTCTCCGTGCCTTCACCCCTAGGTGTGAATCCCCGCCCCTCGCTGGGTGGAGGAGAAGGAGCTGTGATATTTACATTTTCTTCCTAATTGATTAGCAGCTAACCGCGCAGCGCCGGACGTAGGACATTTCCCAGGGATCCCTCTTCTCGTTTTGGAGTGACCAGGATCCCCCTAAACGCTGCTCTTGGGTGTACCTCAGTTCCTTCGAGGTACCTCTCTGCGGCAAATGTGGGGATTCCAAGGTAGAGGCTGGTCCAGGAGTTCCTTAGGAAAGCTTATAGAACGCCAGGCCTCCTCACCATGGCCTATCACCCCGAAACTGAAATGCAGCTTTTGTTATTTATTTCCGGGGGGGGGGCGGGTAGAAGCCTTGACTTGGAGAGCTCCCTCTCAAGAGGTCGATCTTACCTGTTAGGTAAGATGCAGCCCAGCTCCTGTGCCCCCTCCTCCCGGGGCCCTCCCCCTCCTCCCCAATAGCCGCAGTGCCCCC